CGGCCCGACGCAGGCAGCCGCCTGGCCGGAGCCAGGGAGCGGGGGCAGTGCCCTCCTCCCTTCTCTCCTCGATCCTGGGCAAAGCACCTTTTCTGGTTCCTTTGTCCTGACTTAAATAGGGCAATTCGCAGAGGCGCCCTATTGGCTCAGCCCCGAGGGGGATGGCAGTCTGATCTGGTGGCCAGAACTAAGCCTAACCCGGTTCCAAAACCGGGGAGGTCGCAGGGAGCAAAACCCCTCTCCTGCCACCAGAACCAGCCCCCCCCTCCACATCAAACCGTGACACTACATAGGAATAATAACTAAAAAACCCAAAAAACTCTGGGACAATGAGGCTTGACATCAATCAGCCAGATGATAATCTTGGTGTTGTTTATGTTGGAATTTTTTCTGAAGAATAACTAATTCTCACTTCTTAGTAACAAATCACCTTGGTTTGCAACTAAAAAACCTCTTCTAAATATTGTGGTGCTTCCTGTGAACCCGAAAAGTATCTATATGCTTAAAAGTACTTGCATAGAATGGTTTGGGTTGGAAGGGACCTCAAAGATCATCTAGTTCCAACCGCCCTTTGACGGGCAGGGACACCCTCCACTGCACCAGGTTACTCAAAGCCTCTTCCAGCCTGGCCTTGAACACCTCCATATACTTTGAACTGTAACAGCTTATATTCAGAAATGGGCTGACGGTTTAAAAGTATTGACTGTCTGTCTTTATAAACTAAATATATAAAAGGAAAAAAACCCTGCATGTATCTATTTTACTTGAAATGTATTTTCAGATAATAGGATTGCAGATCTGATCCTGTGTAGAACAGGGCTGGAAAGGGTGCTTTCTTACTCCTGGGCAATACTTTGGTTATTGGACCTCTCAGCCAGAGTTAGGGAGAAAAAAATTAATTCCGTTTTCTTCTTGAAGATTATTATTAGACTTTCAGTGTTGCAGCTGCTGTTTATGGAGCATACTTGAACAGGAGTGAGGGTGTGTGTTTTAAATTCTCATTGTTGAAACTGTTCCAATCCGATGTGAAACAGAGATTGGGCCTGCTGAGTGTGAGGGTGAAGATAGGCCAGTCATGTCCAGAGTCCCCTTTCTTACCTAGAAAGGAGGGGTAAGACTGGGCTTTAGTCACTGTTCTAGAGAGGTCCTCTCTTACAGGTTGCTGTTGTGGCCAGTTAGAATTTGACTGTGTACAAATAAGCAGCTTCATTTTGAAGGACTAAAATGGCTTTGTTCTCATACACTCGGGTATGCTTAAAAATGTGCTTTAGACCTCCAGATAAATTCAAACACTCTTCCTCAGTGCAGAGAAGAGAACTGAATCTCTGATCTTTCACATCCTGGTTAAGTGCTGAATTCCAGGAGGTGGTTCAATGGAATTGTTTCACCTGGTGAAGGGAGGAGCTTCCTTTCACTAGGGAAGTTCAGAAGGGCACTTACCGTCCTAGAGGTTTTTTTACATGTTTTGTGATGCATCTCTCTTCTCCTCCCTCCAGTGGACCACCCGCGGCATCTCCACGATCAGTCTGCTTAGTTGTTGAATCCTGAATTTGACTTCGCTCTCATTTTCAGTATTTATGTTCTTCTTTGATTGTTTGTATATAGGATACTCTATTATGAGAAATCTTGTAGGGATTGAAAATTAAGGACCTTAAAGGTTTATGTGTGGACTGATTAGATGTGGAATAAGGAAAAGTTCCTCAAACACTAGAGTAAAAATCTGAAGTGGCAGAAGGAGAGACAAAATTGCCTTTAATTTAGCTAATTCATTATTTCAGCTTTAAGTTCTGGTCTTTGTATTTTCTTTGAACTTACAGCTCTTCCTTTTCCATCTGTTTCCCTGTTCCTAACCAATAAGTTTCTGATTTAGTTATTAAAGTGCCTTGATAATGTGCACAGGTATCTTTATAACCATGTAGACTAGATTATATAAAGTGCAGAGCAAAGATCTAGCGTTCAATGAGAAGAATAATAAAGCTTTTTTTGTTGTTCTGAATTTCCATTAAGGTTGCAATGCTGAAGACGATTTCTTGGATACCGAAAGGAAGAATCAATTTTGTATCACAAAGAATTTATATCGAATTTATTAAAAGTAAACCTTTACCTTAAACTTTAGATCTTATCTCTAAAGACCCTGCTGTCATGATTGTTTGTAAAACAAACAAAAATTTCTGAGTCTGGATGTTTGTGAAAATTTAAGGTTAGAATATTTTAGAAGTTTTTCCTTTAACTGTGTTTTTTGATTTCTAGTAACTGTCTGCTGGTGTGCACAATTCTCTTCATGTGGCAATCCATAGTTGCTTCCGTATTACTTCCTAATGCACCTTTGTGGGAAATAATTATAATTATGCACATTATTAAAGCTTAGGTTGATGCTTTGAAGCCTGCCTTTCTTTTTGTGTTCATAGTTGACTTTTGTTTTCCTCTAAGCTTCTTTGCTTGCACTTCGGCAGTGATCTACAAGTGGAATTAATGCTGCTAGTCTTGATTGTGAGTTATGCTTTTCTAAAATTAACTAAATAGCATGGAGTGCGTAGTTGCAGCAAAACTAACTAGAAAATAGTTTTTAAATTTGAAACAGATATACAAGTGAGATGAATAATAATAATTTTGAGTATTAGTGAAGCAATTTGAGTTGCTTCAAAGAAGAACCAACAGAAAAAACCTGTAGTCACAGCATTTGAACACAGTAGAATGAGACCTTGCAAGAAGTCTGCACTGTTGACTTAGCTATCCCAATCTTAAAATGTATTTTAAATGTGTGTCTATTCAATTAAACCTTTGTCTTTCACAAAACTAACCAAAACTATGTTGTTTTGTATTTTGAACGATAGCATTCAGAGAGCTACATGTGTAAGCTGCATTTCTCAAGGCGAGCATTAACATGTGTTGTTCCTGGGATGTATGGTTAGTTTTGCGGCCTTTTGGTCTGTCTTCCTTTTGATGAGTCTGAAGAGTTCCCCTGTTTTAGCTGTAACTCCCTTTTCAGGAAGGAAGATACTGTCATTTCTTGGGGATACATGCTCTTGCAATTGATTGATTTTTTAAAGGGCGTAAGGTAAGACTGTGGGTACTTGGTTAAAGGTCAACATATGTGTGTTAGTTTGGATTGGGAGTGTACATTTGAAATTGATTTCTTGACTGTCTCCACTCACTTTGGTTTCATTCGTTGTGCTGGTGTCCCTGAATGTACTTACTTATGTCTGGGTGAAATGTAACAGGAAAGTAACTGCTTATGGGCATTCAGCCAGCTAAGATCTAGTTTGCTGCAATCCCTCTCAAATATGTAGAATCTGAACTTCAAGTTGTCAACATCACTTGTATGCTCCATGAATTCACGTAGTAAGATCTGATATCTGCAAATGCAAGTGCAACTGAAGTTGCAACAAATTGTCAAATCTAATGACTGTCAAAACAATATAGGTTTTATATGCAATAGACTACGTATAATTGCATGTAAAATTATTTCCCTTAATAAGCTGTTCATTTCTGTGTATATTGGGTGACTTTTACCCTTTGTTTAAATTTTTCTTCTATCTTGTTCTAAATCACTAGTCATCATATAAGTTGCTGAAATACACTAGTCAGGAGGTCTTTCTTGAAGCATCTGTTCTGTTTGGTAATATTCAAGTGACTTTAAAAATAGTTAAAAGATACACTAGTTATAGAATCAACGGCCTGTAGCTTCTTTACATCCATTTGAAAAGTCTTAAACTCAGTTGGGATTTGTTTCTCTCTCTTTTTTTTTTTTACCTCTGTTGAGCTATTGGGAATTGGATTTGGGAATTGGTTGTCAAATGTTAAAACCACACGAGGTATGTGTTATTTCTCAAACTAGCTGAAGTGTTCTACTGTTCTCTCCATCAACCTGGTGCCTATTTTAAGAAGCATGGAGGAGTAAGGGCAGAGTGCTAGATCCTAAAGTTTTTAATTGGAATTGCTGTTAATGAGACACGAGCTTGTTTCTGTCTTCCCCACACCCAAAAGGAGCTTGCTTTTGTTTGAAATGCAGTGGGAAAAGAATAATTTGGTAAAATTGAAGATGTAAATAAGTTGACTGGTGTATTAGTGGGTTTTTACCTCCTTTTCTGGTCCTCGAGAAGAAAAGAGTATGTTGATCATTAATCGTTTGTGTTAGCTTTAAATTGTACAAGTAGCGTGCATGTTTGTCAGAATTTAAAGGAGAGGTGAGATGAATTAGTATTAGTCCTTTCCGGAAAGGGAAGGCAACACAGCAAAACCAACACCTCTGCTACTTGTAACAAATATGCAGTAGCAGTTTTGCCTGGCTTACCTTTATGGCATGTGGTGTATTGCGCTCTGGGGAAACAGGGTTTGCTTTGGCAAAACTATCAGTAGCATTCCTTTGGGTCTGCTAGAAGTGAACATGAGGTGTAGCAGGGGAACAGTTCTGATCTGAAAATTCTTTGGCAAGAATGCGTGTGCTTGGTTTCAAGTAACTCTTGATTCAAAACTGCATTTTAGAAATTAGCTGTCTTTTATTCTTAAAATAGCAGATTTCAAATGAGTAGTCTCTACAGGATACTCGGGAAGCCTGGTAGAGGGGTGCCAACATGGAGAAAGTTTCTTGGGTGAGGGCCAACTTAACAAATGCGAGCAGGCAAGCTTTGTGTCCAGACTTGTGTTTCAGCTTATGCTGTTGGATTTAATGTCCGTAGAGCTCAGGCACTGAAGCATACATTGCAGCAAAAATACTACAGTACAATGTGCTCAGTTTCATTTGCTGCTGTGTTTGATATTGGAGGATTAAGGGGGAGGGGAAAGGATCGACTACCCAGGATGCTCTGTTAGGAGGAGTAAGTGAATTTGATTGTCGTCAGAACTAGATTGCCATATGAGTTCTGAAAAGCATTTGGCTCCTGAGGATAACTGCTCTAAAAATAGATTTGGAGGAGAGGTTTTTCTTGGGTCCAGTTTCGGGTTCCAGCTGAGCTGACTTTAGGAAACTTGTTTGCTCCTGTTGCAAGACTACAGTGAGGACAAATCGTTTCTTATTCTGCCTTCAACATTAATTTTTGGAGATATCGACACACTCGCTCTGTCTGTGGAAATCAAGCACTAATATTATGGCTGACGACACAGGTATAATCCTAATTTTTGTGAACAAATGGAAAATGTGTAGTCACGAATACCGGCTATGTCTGATTTTGTAATCGGCAAAATAGCCGGCTTTCTGTGGTATGTTGATGTTTTCCAGCCAGTTTGCTGTTCTAGTCTGCGTTACAGGCTGCCTCTGTTCTCTTTGATTAAATGTTCTCTGGAGTAGAGATATTTCTGAGTTTGTGGCAGGTGATTAACTGTAACTTAGTTTTTGCTAGAGTAAAGCACACATTAACATAAGAGAAGTTTTATCTTCAAATATCTGGCTTTAAAGTTTTTTTTTGAGTATGTGAAATTACTGGGTGTCTTTAACGTAAGCAAAAGTAAAAGGAAAAATGTTTTCCTACCTCTTTATCTAGATGTGACTCTTAGTGCGGGGTGGATGAGGTATAGGACTTTTAAAAGATTTGCCGTTGGGGAATGGAGCATGCTTTAAGACTTTCTGATGTCTGCTTAAAGACATCTGGTGGTGTAAGCACAGGCTTACCAGATATGGCAAGTGACCTACTTCTGCTATGGCTGGCAGCGTGTGCAGGGAAAGGGCTTGAATTGAGAATTAACTGTCTGGAATGAGCTCGCAGCCAGTGTCGGTCCTTGCAGTGTTTTGTTCTGACTTTCTATAGGGTTATCTGGGCAGAACATAGGTAAATTTTATGTTACATAACTTCCGTTTGTATTAAAGTATTGCCTAATCACGCTGCCATGGTTGAATTCTTAGCAGAATTTTTGAAGAGTTTTGAGAATGATCTGGTTTTGAGTGATTTGCATGAAACAGTCTTTTAAACTGGAAAAAAATATGAACAGCTATGCTTGATTACTTAAATAAGTTGGATTTTAGTATGGGTTTTTTTTGTTGTGTTTTTTTTTTTTCTTTCTTTTTCCTGTTCTTCTAATATGTAATGCCCCTTTCTTCAAGGGCAACTAGCAGTAAACAGTAGAAAACAGTAAGGTAAATGAGTAAGTGTGAAATATAGTAAGATTCTCTTTCCTGCTTGCATTTTCTAATGCCTAGTTTGCTCTAGAACATAGTTGTAACCTGGAATCATTTAAAATGTTTTTAGGCTTAAGGGTTATCCCTTGACTACACTGGAACACAAGAGTGCCCACGTTCTGCTGTTACATAGTATCATTGTTTATTTCTGAATATGAAAATTTCCAGCTCAAGAGTACATTAAATAATTTTCATATATAGTTGATGATATTTCTGAATGTGCTGGCACATGCTGCTTGTCTTTGCTTCTGTTTTCAGGCTACCTGTACATTTTTCCCACAAGAGAGATAGTATGATAAGTTAGGTATGTGGACCTTGCACATAAGTAATTAGAGTACTGTGCAGTAGCAAGTGATACATGTCACAGGTGAGGCTAAATTGCCTCTGTTTCTCTTGAGTATCACAACCTACACCAAGGCAACTTTGTGTTTAATGCAGAAAAGAAAATGAATCGTTGATATTTGATCTTTGTACGAAGTAGTCTTAATAAAAGATTTTTTTTTTTCCAATAAAATGTTGAGCTGAGTAAGATCTGATGTCAGTTGTTTGGTTTTCGTTTTTTTTTTTTTTAATTGGTCTGAACTTGGTGTATATCACAATGAATGTAATAAAAGGTTAGTTTATCACAGCTGTGAATCTCATGGCAAGCATGGTCTGAAAGTACTTCTATGTAGTATCTATTATAGAAATAAGTAAACCAGTAGCTAGTTTCTTGTTACTCATCTTTCAGAGCTACTTCATTTTATTCTAAAAACCAATTGTGTTGATGTTTACCTGTTGAGAGTATTTTATGTCTTTTTCTGTGATCGGTGTTGATAAATACATCAAACATTACTTGCAGTTGGTATGATACAGTTAATTCCGTACCTTATTATGTTATCACAATATTCATGATGAAGTTCATGGGTTATTTAAAGATATGTAAGAAATAGTTCTACTTCAATAACTGGGATTGAATGTGGCTGAACGGGCAAAAGCTGGTAGACATGAAACTATAGCCAAGTGACAGCCTTGCAGCAACAGTATCAGGAGGCAGAAGAACAGACCTTGAACTTTGGAGAAAGGCCACAGGCATTTTTTTTGGATGCACATGTATTTCCTACGTGTATCCTGCTCTCCCTAAAATGATTGTAAAGCAATGGACCAAGAAATTTGTCTTCTCGAGTGGTGATGCACATTTGAAACCCCCTGCCCGTATGCTAGGTTGAGGTCTGTCTTTTCTCAGTGGTTTGAGTATAACTGCTGATTTTTTTATATACGCTTACTTTACATACGTGCAGTTATAGCTGAAGCTGTGATTTGCATTAAATCTCCGTGTCCTCTTTTTACTTGTATGTTTCATGGGACTGAAAGTCTAAAGGTTTTCAGCATGTAATGAATCTCTGTTTGACTCTAAGCAACAGGGGAGATATTTTTAGTTGCTAGAGTGTCTGAACTTGGAGTTTTACTCTTAATATGATTTAGATTTTGAAGCCGTCTTAGGCTATTTGAATTTTCATGTTGATTCCGTGAGCTAATTCAACTAGTATTGAAACTTGCTTCAGAAGAAATGCTTTTCTTCCCAACTGTTTCTGTTGGTCATATTGCCCTCTGGTGGCAGTTGGCGAGCTGTTGGCACAAATGCAAAGCATCTCAAAAATGTTAAGCTCTGTATAAATAGACACTAAAGGGGAGGAAGGGGCGATTTCCAGCTAAGTTGTTAAGATAAATTACATGTGAGTTTTGGTGTTTCGTTGGTTATAGGGCTTTTACTTAGATAATCATTGAGCTTCCCACTAGAATTCACAGTGATACGAAAAGCAAGTAATAGTGGTGCAGTTAAAAAAAAAAAAACAAGCAACAAAACCGCAAAAACCAACAAAAACAGAACCAAAAAAAAAGTGTTACTCAAATGTCTTGTATTCTGTGTGGTCATAAGAAACAAGATTTATAATTATATTCTCAATCATAACTTTCTTACTTGTATCATGACCGTTTTTCCTACTTGTTTGCCTTATTTTAACAGAGGCTAAGCATGGAGGAAGCAAAAATGGAAAGAAAGACGGCCTCTCTGGAAGCTCATTTTTCACCTGGTTTATGGTAATTGCTTTGCTGGGAGTTTGGACATCAGTAGCAGTTGTCTGGTTTGAACTTGTAGATTATGAGGAAGTTCTAGGTAAGAATTTTAAATCTTACAATGCTTCTAATAATTATGATGATATACCTTAAATGGAGACTGTTTTAAATTTCTAGATAGCTGAATTGACTACTGTGATGTTTGCAAATGACCTACATGATAAGAACAGGAAATGTAGTGCAAAAAGTACGTTTTAATGCTGAACTCTATTATCATGTTAAAATGGGATTCTCATAAGACTGGGAAAAGTTATTAACTTACTACATTTATTAAAGAATTGAAGAAATCTCCAAGGATGGATCTGGGTCCCTTTGTAATGCATATACTGGAGTTCATTCAAAATGTCAGTTAAATATGCATCGTTTCAGTTTGAGCTCTCAGAAACGTGCGGCAGTGGTTGGAAGCAGACAGCTAACGTTACCACTCCTCTCATGGACTGTGTTGCCTATAGAGTCAGGACAGCTGACCAGTCATCCTCTTGTGAATGAGCTGTTGAATCACCTCAGGTTTAAGCTTATAATGGTGATAATTGTATCTCATAAGGTGATAGTGTTAATATAATATCCGAGGGTGAAAATTAATGTTTCAGATTTCAAGATGTATGTCCATAGGTAAAGCTATTGTCCCTGATGTTGTAGGATTCAACATGCACTTTTGCAACTGGTGGTTTTACAAGCTTTACAGCTTTACGCATCTGTTGGTACATGCTTTTTTGATCTGGATTGATTTTAAGAGAAGCTTCTGGTTTGAAACTTAATTGGGTCTAGTGATGCAAATAATGGTTTCTGTATTTTTGCCATGCATGCAGCCAAAGCAAAGGATTTCCGTTATAACTTGTCAGAGGTCCTACAAGGTAGGATATCAGAGAAATAAGCTTGTGTTACAGTCCTTTGGCTAAAAATTTTTATTTGCTTTTTTATATTTTTAATTTTTTTGTGAATTACAATTCTTCTACAACATCAAACAGCGTCATTTCTCATCTGTCTTGTTCTTCATGGTTTTGAAGATGATATAAATCTTCTTATTTCTAGAGAATTATATTTATTCCACCAGTCTGTTGTGTTTAACCATAAACCAATAGAGATCCTTTCTAATTGATTGCTTCGAAACAATGGTGATGGCTTTATTTTTCTCTATTCTAGACCCAAGTCTGAACTTTTTCTTTCACAAAACTTGTTCTCTGATTTTTTTTGAAGTATCATATGAAGAACTATGTTTAATTTATTTTAATGGCAATCAAGTTCTGCCTCCATTTAGAGAGTGACAAGCATAATAATAAACTGGCAAACTGTAAGGACTTAGAGTTCTCCTGCAGACGGTGTGTAGAGTTTCAATCCTATTAAAAGTTATGTCTGAATTTTGTGAAAACTAATTAGATAGCTCTCTACTTGGTGATTCTAGGACACTTCTAATCCTGAATGCCACAATTCTATGCTAAATTTTTTTTTTTAATAGAAACTGAGTTCTCCTTTTACACATGCTTGGGGCTGGTAGGGCTGCAGTTTCAAAAATAAAAGTGAGAAGTCTGATGTATGGGTCACCTATAAAAGGATGGACAACTCTTTTGTCTGCAGTGAATGTTATACAATTGTTGATAAAATTATGAATGTTTTTCCTTTGTCCAGGAAGTAGGTTGCTTACCTTCTATTAACTTGGCACTAAAGATTATATTTTTTTTTCTCCTGAGAATTTAGAATAGCAAGAAGCATATAATCAGAAAACAAATGGAGATTATTTGATTAATTTTTGCTTTATTATTTCTTTTCCCTCAAACATGTTGAATGTTCCTTGTGAACTTAAAGTTTAGTCTGAGCAAAGCACATTCACATAAAATGCATCACCTAATTACAGATTTGTTTTAAATCTGCGAGCACCAAAATAAACGTGTGGAAAAAAGACTAACTTGTGTTCAGTCTGAAGTCTAGGAAATGCAGAAAGAAACTTAAAATATACGTAGTGTTTTTCAGTAAATTTAAAATCAGATTGAAAGTATGGCTAAATAATTTTAAAAAGTGTGGTAACAACCTAGCATTGACAGTCAGCCATTACACGTTGAAAACACTGTGCTAGAAACAAATTACTGAATCCCTAATTCTCTCTTTTTCCTGTCTTTGCGTTTCTAGGCAAGCTTGGGATATATGATGCTGATGGAGACGGAGATTTTGATGTGGAAGATGCTAAAGTATTGCTAGGCAAGTACAAACACAGGCAAAATAATCTGTATAATTCAGTTGTCGTACTCATGTTTGTTTTTTGTTTACTGTCAAACAGTATTTCTGTTTTTTCCTAATTGGAGAACTTAAATTGATTTAGTTTTGGTGGCATTTTTTCTTAATGCAAGTTGTAGTATTGTGTATGCAACTTGTTGTACCAAGTTGTCTTCTTTTTCTCCTAATACAGCAATGTGAGTGGAAAGCATTTAATTACTTGCAGGATGATTTTGGAGTTAGGTGGTTGATTCTGCTGCCTCAACTGTTGAAAGACGGTTGTGGTTATTAATAAATTTATCAGGTGCAGGGCTTATGATGTCTCAAGAGTTAAAACATTTTTTTATGTTAACGTGTTAAGCCAGGTCCATTTTAAAATGACTTCCAACAGGCTTTTGTACTTCTTGGATGACTATTTGTTTAGCATATTTTTGTACTATCCTCTATTCTGAGTTCTCCACAAATCTATTGATTTTCTTTGCTCTTCAGAAATGCTACATGACATTGATTTTTCTTTTTTTTTTTGCGTTGAAACACTGGCTTCTGTTTCTTCTAGTTTGGGAGAATGTCTGCTCACTATGTATCTTCAAAGAGAAATTTCCATCATAGACATACTTCATGATATTGCCCTTCTACCTACATCTTCTACTAGTTAAAGCACTGCCATCTTCAGCTTCATAATGAAACGTTGGATAGATACTTCTTGCATACCTGATGTTAGAAAGGTTAAATGATTTGCTCAAGTGTAAACCTATTCTGAGCACAGAAAGCTAGCAAGTTAAATAAACAACAAAAAACCCCGGCATTGTAAATAATAGCTTGAGCAGAGGGCAAAGTGGAATGTCTCAAACTAGTCAAAGTTATCAATAATATATTAGGATGTTATGGTTTGCTGTTAGAAACTCATACTCCATAAAATTTAGTTTATCATCAGTTCATTTTTCCCCACTTATGTTTGCAGAAATAAACAAGTCTTTTTTGGGAGTTCATTTGTTTAATCCCTTCATGGTTAAAGAAAACCCATGCAATAAAACTACTGAACCAGTTTGCAGTGGTGTGAATGTGAGAAGCACTCCAAAGAATCTCCAGTGCTCTGAATGACTTCAGAGCTACAAATTGGGTGTTAAATATAAATGGTGAATAAGATAACACTTTATACAGTTATAATCCTAATCTTTCTTTGTCTTTTATGTGAAGTGCATATCAATCTCTTGTGGGTCATGTTAGTTGAATTAATGTTGCCAGGGTGGTAGCCAGAATCATGCTGCTGCTTTGTTACCTCTCTGTTTTATGCGACTTGATATAGCTGGGAATTCTGCCAGTACGTGACAGTGTTTCTATTCTAAGCTTGTCTTACCACGCCTTTAAACCTTATACTTCAAATGTGACATTAAAAGGTCACAGATCAAAATGATTTTTATTATTTTTGAGTACTTGCTTAGAAATATGATTTAATCTCATTTAAGTTTAATAATATTTTCTGCAGTACTAAGGAAATTATAAAACTTAAAAAGTTACAAGATATTGACAAATATTATGAATATAAAAATATATTTTTTCTCATAACTAGCATATAATATTATTAACTGAAGTTCCCAGTAAAATATTGTGCTTGTTTGTATTTAACGTTTAATATGAACCAAAAAATCAACAAAATAAAAAACCTAAATTTATTTAATTTAAAAATTTTATTTAAAACTAAAATTACTTCATTGATGCAGGAACTGGAATACTAGATTCCCTCTTGAGGAATTTGTCTTCCAGAATTCAGTCTTTGTAGTAAAGAAAATCAGATAGTAAGCCTGTATTCAACTGCATTAGCATAACTTTCTAAATATCGAATATGTAGCTCCTTTTATATTTTATTTATGAGGATTTTGTTAGTACATATGCTGTGTTTGAAGACATGTTATTTTCTGGCATTTTTCTCTGGGTTAAACTACCCTAACAGCAAGTGGTTTCTCTACTAGTTTAATATTGACTTCAAAAGGAGATACTACTATTTGATGTTTAATACTAGGAAGTCATATACTTTTTTATTTTCTGTTCTTTAGCTGGTACTAAACTACTGTATATTGAAATTGTGGCATATACAGTAGTTCAATGTTGTCCACTTCCATATTTCCCTACAAATGTAAATATTTAATTTGTGTATTAATAATAAATATGGTTTTAAGTTAATTTGATTTTGAGAAATGCTTCTACCAGCATGAATATATTTTATATTTCAAAGAATGGTTTAGTAGCTGGTAACTTTGTAGCTTTCTGTACTACTTGAGCACACCTAAATAGAAGAATTTTAATTTCTTGTTTTGGTTCTTGTATGTATAAATGTATGATAGGGTCTGTTCTTTCTATTTGTTGAAATCAAAGGAGGTTTAATGAGTAAGTTCTCTTGAGGTATTAATGTAATTTTAAAAATGGTGTGCAAGAAGTATGATCTTCCCCTCTTCCCTTCCCCCCCCTCCAAGTAAGGGGGGGAAACCCACCTAAAACCCAGCCAGCCTACCAACCCTTGGTAATTATCTTCCTACTTTTTGTCCTTCTCACTCTGTTTTTTGAAGGAAGTATTCTTCTCGGGAGGAGTGTTATACCGCTGCACTTGAGAACTGTTCTTTTAGTAGTGTTACAATAAAATGCAGGTATTGGGAGTACCAATGTCTGTTGTAATAGACTCTTTGGAGCCGAGACATTTTTTTATACTTCAGTCCTTTTTAACAAGAAACAATATCCTTAGAAATTTTACTTTAATGGCCGCAGTAGTTAGTACCATTTTGGAACAGCAGCTACAGAAAGACATCACTATATTGTTCTTGTGCATTTAGTTTAGAGTAGTTTGGCTATGCAGAAAATGGAAAAAAAACCCCACAACTTAGTGTATGAGCAAACAAAGTTTAATAAACAGTAGAAGCTTCTGAAAACCAACTTTTTTCCCCTGGTTCACCCATAGTAGAAAAAGATGTTTTCAAGCAGTTGTACAAAGGTTGTGTGTTCAGAAAATCTGTGGTGAGATAATAGGAGTTTAAAGATTGCTTTTGTAAGGTTCAGCTGTTTAGGATAAGTTTCATACTCTTCTCTGTTTTTCTCACGTTCTGCTGTAGCACCTTCAAATATTGAGGGTTTGCATCTGCTCGATCTCGTAAAAGATGTGTTGCAGGAGAAGAAAGACTTTGTCTTGTAGATTGAACGTAGGCAAGCCCTTTGCCCCATTGGTTGCGGTAGCACTGTTGAATAGATAAAGATTTTGACTTCTTTGATTACTGTTTGATTTAAATTGCAATGTTTAGACTTCTCTTGAAATAAATTAATTTCCTGTGAGTCACTGATTTAGTATGGCATGGCTGCCTGATTGGGCAGTTCCATTTTTGTCATCAATTGCAGGCACTTCTTACCGTGCTTATCAGTATGTGAGTTTGACTTTGAAAAGCAATTCTCAGTTACGGAGATGAATGAAGATGGAAAATAGTCTGAGTATTGATTAGTTTGAGTTTTTAAAATCTAACTCTTTCTGAGAAAGAAAAAAGAAAAATTTATGAAATAATGTGTTACTTTCTGTAACTCCAGCTGAAGCATCTCTCTTTTCACCCCTCCCTTTTTTTTTCCCCCCCCTCAGATTCAAAGGCCATTATATTAATCTTGTATAGTTTTTGTATAGAATTGTAGACAAAGGGTTTGGGGTTTTGTTGTTTGGTGTTCTTTGTGGTAAAGACTATAAGACGTATTCTTCCGGTTTCTATGGATCTCTTTGGTGTACTAATATTTTCAAAGAAAATATGCTGCTGTACTCCATGTAATATTTTATAAAGATAATTGCCCAAGAGTCTTATTCTTGACTTAGTGCAAGAACAAGAGCATCTATATGGTTTTTCATGTGCTTACAGAAATCCAATCTAAGGCCTGGGGTCTTTCGTGAGTGGGGTTCTGTTTTTTTCTTTCTATTTTTTTCTTTAATGCCAGATTCAGACAGAATAGAATGATACAAATATTTATAATTATTACTTAGATTTTTAATTTTTTTTTTTTTAGATTCAGGTTTCAATTCTTAAATTGAGATTTCATTCTTCTGTAAATATACTTACTTTGATTTGTGTCTTTACATCTTGCTTGGTCCAAGTTTTGAAAACAAATTAGAATGATGACTGATTACTGTGCATAAAGTTAAGTCTATAAAATTTAATTTTTATAGAACTAAGCCATGGAAGAAGTTGGAGAGAGGGATATTTATAATACCTTGATTGCCTCCTGGATTCAGTCTGTCAGTTTTAAACCTATGGGCTATCCAGTGAAAAATTAAAGACAATGGCTGGTCACTCAAGTAGAGGTTCTGGACATCCAGGTACAAGGATGTGGAACATCATGGACTTGGAAGTTTCCTCAGAATTATCATTGATACTTTCACTATGTGCTGTAAGAAAAACGTGTTGAAATGTGTTAGATGTCTCTGCCGTGAACTCCTCTATCTTGAATGCTTCATTAACCTGCACCTAATATTGCTTTGTAGTCTGCATGTGCAACACGTTCACTTAATTTTACGTCTCAACAATTCATATTCACCCTTAGCGCACTTTTCTGCTTTTTCCAACACAATCAAAGGTTTGTTCTGGTTAGAAGTGGGGGAAATTCCTCCCTCTCTTGCTTTAAAGCTTGCCAATAATTGATGTTTGTCATTGCTGCTCATTCTGTTTTACTTTTCCCAAAATGGAAAAGTTGAAATGTTATTTAGTAATAACTGTAAAACAGTGGATTTCAATATAAAAAGAAGAGGAGGGAAAAAAAGAGAGCATTAATCATGGCTTATTTGTATTTTACAAACACCAGTTAGATCAATGGGTCTTGTCACCCAAAATGGCAACTCTTGGTATCAGAGAGTTTAGAATTGACAAGCTCTTTCTTCACTGCTCTGACCATCTCTAGCTGTGTTTAGCTTGCTTTAGATTTTCTGTGTAATGATACATACATCCTTTACATTGGCTACCTATTCATTT